CCCAGCCCCACAGGTAGGGACTGGCTGGCTCAGGGGGGGCAGGGAATGGGGCCCAGGGTCTATGCCCTCTAGGGGGTGTCGGTTCCCACCCAGCCCCATGGGCAGGGACTGGCTGGCTCAGGGGGGCAGGGAATGGGGCCCAGGGTCTATGCCCTCTAGGGCAGTGGGCTCCAACCTTTTTACACCCAAGATCACTTGTTGAGTTTAAGGGCAACCCAGGATCTACCCCGCCCCTTCCCTGAGACCCCGCCCCCCGTCCGTCACTTCCTCTCCCCAGGGGTTCGGGGTGTGTGTGCGGGCTCTGGGCTGAGCCTGGGGCAGGGGCTTGGGGTGCAGCCCTCTGGGAGGGGGCTCAGGCTACCCCACCTCGCTCGCCCCCTGCTCCCATCCTGGCTGTTTTGGGGCCGGCGCGTGGGTCTCAGGGCAGTTCCCCACAGCCCGTGGGGAAGACAGCGGGGCCGTTACCTCGGCTGTAGCCGCCCGGGTGGGCGGGGAAGGGAGCCGGCGGTGTGGGAGCTGAGGCGGGGGCGGTGCCGGGCGGCGGTTGCTTGGCGCGGGCACCGTGACGATTGCTCAGCTCGGCCAGCGCCTGCTGGATGCCGGCCGGGTCGCTGGGCACCACGTGGTCCAGCCGGTAGACGGCGCTGGTGGTGGGCCCGGGTGGCAGGCTCAGGCCCGGGGGGCGCTCCTCCGCCGGGCGGCTGGGGGGAGAGCGAGTTAGGGGGGTAGCTGGGTGCCCCCCAGTCCTGCCCACCTGCAGCCCCCCCAAACCTGCATCTGCCCCCCCAGAAATGTGTCTGTGCCCCTTGGCCCTGCCCACCTGTGTCCCCCCCCAGTAACGGTCCATTGTCATTAATGACCTGTGCCCTCGTTATGAGCCCACAGCTCATCAGTCCCCATTAGTGCCTCCCCCCATCTCTGGCTCCCACCCCCCAGGGCCTGCGGGCCACTGGCAACACTGCCCCAATCCCCTCCCTCCCCCCGACCACCCCCCCATGTGCCCCCCGCTGTCCCTATGTCCGCCCCCGTTAAGTGTCCCCCTCTCCCTCGGCCCCCACACCTGCGGTTCCTGGGCGAGGGCCAGGTCCTCTTGTCCCCACGGCCGCCGCCAGGCCCCCCGCGGCCCCCGGCCTTGCCCCCGCTGCCGGGCCCGGGGTTGGGGCGCCGGTTCTGCCGGTCCATGCCAGGCCGCTGGCTGGAGAAGCTGCGCTTGGACATCTCCTTGCGCTGGGCAAGGGTCAGGTCGGCGCTGGCCCCCCGGACCCCCAGCGACGGGGCGCCGCCCCCACCGCCCCCCTTCAGGAAGGCTTGGGGCGGGGGGCCCCCCGGCTCCTTCTCGCCCGGCCCACCGCCCCGGCGCTCGGTGAAGTCGCTGCTCTCCGAGGCCGTCTCCCACTCCTCGTTGGCCTGGTCCGAGTTCTGGTTGGACAGGTCGGGGGACTTGGCGCCGGCTGGGCGCCGGGAGGCCGTTTCCTCCGCCGGGGCGGGGGGTGGCGGGTATGCTGGGGCCCCCGGCCCGCCCCGTTGCTCCCCATTGAGCCGGGCCGCGTTGTCCCGCTCCTGCTTCAGCCGCCGGAAGCGGGGCGGCTTGTCCTGCTGCTGCGAGCGGCCGTGGCGCCGCCGGCGGGGGGGCCGCTCGAAGCTGCGATCCACTGCGCCATTGGGGGGCGGCCCTTGCTGCTTGGGGGGAGACTGGAACGCGGCCAGATCCTCTGGCACCGGGAGAGCTGGCCCCAGCGCCGCTTTCTCCTTGCCGGGCGAATCCGGCCCTGCCTCCGGCTCCTGCTTCTCCGGCTTCTTCCCGGGCGGGGGCTTGGCCGGGGGACTCCAGGTGCTGGCTGGGGGGCGCCCCCCGCCACGACCACGCCGAGAGGGCACGCCGCGGGGGGTGAAGATGCGGCCGCCGCGGGCTCCCGGCTCCGAGAGGCGGGGCGGGATCTTGTCAGCGAAGCGGGGCAGGGCAGCCGGGCCCCGGTGCCGCTCCTCCTTGGCGGGCTGGGGGGCCAGCGGGGGCGGGGCCGCCTCCTTGTCCGAGTGGGCCACGTCGCTGGCACTCTCGTGGGTCTCGCTGCCGGTCTCCGAGCCGCGCTGGCGCCGGCGCTTGGGGATCTCCTCGTACTCGGAGCCCTCGCTGCGCGTCTCGCTGGCGTTGCGGGGCCGGGCGCCGCCCCCGCCGCCTGGGGGCCCCGGCCCCTCCTCCAGGCGGTAGAATGGCTCCCGGTAGCTGCGGAACTCCCTGCTGCGGCCCCGGCCCCCGCCACCCCGGCCGCGCCCGCTGTAGGCGCCCCGGAAGCCGCGCCCCCGGGCGAAGTACTCCCCCCGCCCCCGGGCACGCCCGCGCCCCATGTAGCCGCCGCCCCCGCGGTCGTAGGGGCACTCCCGGCGTCGGCGGGTGGGCGACAGCGCCCCCTGTGGCTCCTTGGGGGCCCCCGCCACGCTGCCGTTCACCAGCGCCTTGGCTTTGGCCTCCTTGCCTGGCTTGGGGGGCTCCTTGGGGCCGGGCTGTGGGTCCGGCTTGGCACCCGCTGGCTCGGTGCCCTCTTTGGCTTTGGGGCGCGGCTCCTCAGCCTCCTCCTTGGGGGGCGCAGGTTTCTTGATGGGCCCGGCTCTGCGCGGGGGCTTCTCGCCGCTCGGCGGCTCATCCGCCCGCCGGCTGCTGCCCGGCCGGGGGCCCCAGCGTGTCTCTGTCTTGGCCTCGCGCCGTGGTGGCCGGTGGAAGTCGTGCGGCTGGCGCGAGGGGCGCTCGGCCCGGCGCGGCGCCTCCTCCTTGGGGGGCAGGGCCGGCTCCTCCTTGGGAGGCAGGGCCGGCTCCTCCTTGGGGGGTTTCTTGGGCGCCGCCAGGGGCTCCTTGGGCTCCTCGGCGTTGGGGGGCTTCTCGTCCGGCTGGCGCTGGGGCGGCGGGGCCAGGGGCTCGGGGCGCCCGTTCCTGGCCAGCTCCCCTGGAGCGTTGGGGGGCAGGGCGAGGCTGGCTGGCCAGGGCCCCCCCGGGCGGGGCTCGTCTCCTGGGAAGCGGTGCATGGGGGCCGGGGCGCCGTTCTCAGCGAAGGCCGGGTAGCTGCCCACATAGGGCTGGGGGGTGGCGGCCTCCCGCAGGCGGACAGGGGGCGTCTCACTCCTGGGGGGAGAGAAGGGGCGTCATGCCTCAGCCCACCAGCCGGGCCCTCCACTAAGTGCCCCAAGCCTGGTCCCCTACCTCCCCTGCCCCACGCCCGACCCTCCTGCCCCCACCCCATCAATGCCCTCTGCTCGGCCCCACAGCTCCCAACCCCCCACTGCCCCCATCCCCCCCACTCACCGCAGGCCCTTCTCCTCCTCATCTGGCTGCCGGAGGGGCGAAGCCAGGGGCCGGGGGTCGGCGGCAAAGACGTCGGCCCCCCAGGCCAGCTTGGGGTCCATGGGCGGGGTGCCCCGCTCCCGCAGGATCTGGGGGTGGCGCTCAAACTGCTCCGAGCTGGAGCCCCCGCTGTCCGAGCGCTCGCGGGGCAGCAGGCCTGGAGAGGGGCAGAGAGCACACGTCAGAGGGCCGGCACCCCCGGGATAGAACCATGGGCCCCCCCGGCTTAGACTAGCCCAGCCCCGCTCCTCCCCCCACAATGCACTTGGGGACCGGCCAGGGCATGGCAGCAGTCACATGACCCAGGAGTAGGTGGGACCAATGAATCACAGGACAGACAGAGCAGAGGGGAGGTGGGACCCAAACCGCTGCAGCGGGCTGAGTCACATGACCCAGACCAGGAAGCTGAGGGGGGAGCATGGGGGCCTGATCATGTGACCAGGTGTGGGTGGGGCCCACAGGACATCTGGAGTCACAGACCAGGAAGGGACCTCGCGAGGCGTCGGGTCCCCTGCACTCAGGGCAGGACTCAGTATTATCCAGACCATCCCTGGCAGGGGTTTGTCCAACCTGCCCTTAAACCTCCCCCGGCAACTTATCCCAGTGCGAACCCCCGACAGGACGTTTTTCCTCATGTCCAACCTAAACCGCCCTTGCTGCAATTGAAGCCCATTGCTTCTTGGCCTGTCCTCAGAGTTAACGAGAACAATTCTTCTCCCTTCTCCTTGTAACAACCTTTCAGGTACTTGAAAACTGTGATCCCGTCCCCCCTCAGTCTTCTCTCCTGCACACTAACAAACCCAGATCTTTCAATCTTCCCTCACAGCTCATGGTTTCTAGACCTTCCTCATTTTTGTTGCTCTTCCCTGGACTCTCTCCAATTTGTCCAACATCTTTCCTGAAATGTGGGGCCCGGAACTGGACACAACACTCCAGCTGAGGCCGTATCAGCGCAGAGCAGAGCGGGAGAATTACTGCTCGTGTCTTGCTCACAACACTCCTGCTAACGCAGCCCAGAAGGATGTTCGGTTTTTTGGCAACAGCGTCACACTGTTGACTCCTATTTAGGTTCTGGTCCACTCTGACTCCAGATCCCTTTCCGCAGTACCCCTCCCTAGGCCGCCATTGCCCATTGTGTCTGCAACTGATTGTTCCTTCCTAAGGGGAGAACTTGGCATTTGTCCTACTAAATGTCATCCTATTGACTTCAGACCATTTCTCCAGTTTGTCCAGATGATTTTGAATTTTAATCCTGTCCTCCAAAGAACTCGCAACCCCTCCCAGCTCGGTATCGTCCGCACACTTTATCAGTGGACTCTCTGCCATTATCTAAGTCACTGATGAAGATATTGAACAGAACTGGACCCAGAACCGAACCCTGCGGGACCCCACTGGTTATGTCCTTCCAGCCGGACTGTGACCCACTGATCACTACTCTCTGGGAACGGTTTTCCAACCAGTTCCGCACCTTATAGTAGCTCCATCGAGGTTGTGTTTCCCTAGTTTGTTTAGGAGAAGGTCACGCGAGACCGTATCAAAAGCCTCACTAAAGTCCAGATATCCCACGTCTCCCGCTTCCCCCTACGCACAAGGCTTGTGACCCTGTCACAGAAAGCTCTCAGGCTGGTCTGACACGACAAACCCACATGGACCGTTACTGATCACCTCATTATCTTCTAGGTGTTTGCAAATCGATTGCTTAATGATTTGCTCCATTATCTGTCCGGGTACAGAGTGAAGCTACTGGGCTGTAATTCCCCGGTTTGTCCTTATTTCCCTTTTCCCGTCTGCCAGGGCTTCTCAGAGAGAATCGCGAATGGCGCCGAAATCTCCTAGGCTGCACTTCATCCGGCCCTGGTGATTTGAAGGCCTCTAACTCGTCTAAGTCATTTTTGACTTGTAGACATGACCCAGGCCACAGGAGGGGGTTGTCAATGGGTGATCATGTGACCCAGGTCTAGCCCAGTTAATGTGTCACACCCTGGGCCAGGCGTGGGCGGGGCCAGCGGGTCACATGACCCAGGCATGGGCGGGGCTTACCAGAGGGGTGCACCCCGGGCGGGGGGGGCAAAGGTCAACTGGGGCATGGGGGGGGGGGCGCCCCATGGAGCCCGGGTACATGGCCTTGGGTGGGGCCTGCTGCTGGGGGGGCGGGGCCTGCTGCTGCCCTGCCCCCTGCGGAGGGTGGATACCGGGCGAGGGGCCCAGGCCCGCCAGGGAAGCTGCTGCCACCTGCTGCTGGGGGGAGGCGGGCACCGGGGGCGGCCCGTGCTGCTGCTGCCACTGCTGCTGCTGCTTCAGCAACTGCTCCTGGGGGGCACAGAGGGGTTAGGGACCCCCCGCGCCACTCCTCACCCCATAGCGAGCCCCCCAATGGCTCCCCCATGCAGGGCTGCAGCCCCCCCCCCACGAGGGCCCCCCCATGGCTCCCCCATGCAGGGCTGCAGCCCCCCCCACGAGGGCCCCCCCATGCAGGGCTGCAGCCCCCCCCCAGCGAGGTCCCCCACAGTCCCCCTCCTCCAGCCCAGCGCCCCCCAGCTGTTACCTGCTGCTGCCGCTGGAACCGGGGCGGCAGAGACTTCTGGTACTTGGAGTAGCCCAGGTTCTGGGCCAGGGGCGGCTGGCGCGGCGGCACCACAGTCTCGCCCTTGGGCTCTGTCTTGGGCACGGCAGGGGCCACAGGGGGGGCCGGCACCACCACTGGCTCATCCGGGACCTCGGGCACCTCCTTGGGGGCGGGCGCCACAGGGGGCTCGGCTGGGGGAGAGCAGGGGGTCAGTCGCTGGGCACGACACGGGAGCGGAGAGGCCTCACCTGGCAGCCACAGCTGAGACGCGGCCCCTCTGGGGCGGGGCTGGTTACCCGGGGCCCCCGAGAGGCGGCCCCTCTGGGGCGGGGCTGGTTACCCGGGGCCCCCGAGAGGCGGCCCCTCTGGGGCGAGGCAGGGGTTTGGTTACCTGGGCCCCCGAGA